CTCATTTTCATTTTAAATTTTTTTTAAATTTTATTTTTATTTTTAATTTAATTTAATTTAATTTTTATTTTTATTTATTTCTGTTTAATTTCCTGATCTTCCCATTATCACAGAGCTGCTCTCACACTCTCTGATGTTGTGCTGAGCTTATTTTTATTTTGAATTTTTTTAAAAAAATATATTTTTATTTCTTTATATTTCATTTCCTGGTCTTCCCATTATCACAGAGCTGCTCTCACACTCTCTGATGTTGTGCTGAGCTTATTTTTATTTTAAATTTTTTTTTTTAAATTATTTTTATTTATTTATATTTCATTTCCTGGTCCTCCCGTTACCACAGGGCTGCTCTCACACCCTCTGCTGTTGTGTTGAGCTTATTTTTATTTTTAAAAAAATTAAATTTTATTTTTATTTTTAAATTCTTTAAAATTTCATTTTTATTTATTTATATTTCATTTCCTGGTCCTCCCGTTACCACAGGGCCGCTCTCACACCCTCTGCTGTTGTGCTGAGCTCATTTTCATTATTAAATTTTTTTAAATTTTTATTTTTATTTATTTGTATTTCATTTCCTGGTCCTCCCATTATCACAGGGCTGCTCTCACACCCACCCACTGCTGTTGTGCTGAGCTTTGCCTGCAATGAGAGGAGTTTTATGGCCCTCCCAAGGGAATTCAGGCAGTGCCTTATTTCCCTCACTTAATGGCACGTGTGTGCCTGGATAATGGGATTCCTGCCTTGGAGCCCACAGGTTAATGAGCCCTTCCTCGTTATTTTCATGCTAATGATGTTTTACAGGGCCAGGACATGGATAGTGTCTCTTTTGGGCTCTGCACTGTAATTACAGCTCGGGATCTTGCCGGCTTGTTTTGATGTTTGTCTGTAGTGCAGAGGGGCCTTGGGTTATTTATTGTGTGTGGAAAGGGCTGGGATTGTTCAGAGGGGTGCAAAAAGCTGGAGAGGGGCTTGGGATGAGGGATGGAGGGACAGGACACAGGGAATGGCAGGGCTGGATGGGATTTTGGGATGGAATATGAGGGTGGGGAGAGGCTGGCACAGAGCAGGGCCCACGGCCAGGCTGGACAGGCCTTGGAGCAGCCTGGGACAGTGGGAGGTGGCCCTGCCATGGCAGGGGTGGGATGAGATGGGATTTAAAGTCCCTTCCAACCCAACCCATCCCATCTCTCTATGATAAATCCAATCCAAACAAAAAAACCCATGGAATTTAGGGTTCCACACCTTCCCAAGGGCACAGTGGGATCTCCTCTCTCTGGGTTTTAAGAGCTGCCTTTGTGCTGGAGCAGCTCCACCAGGGCTGTTGTCCAGAGTGGGACATTCACCAGCTCATTTTGAAGTGTCACCTGCTGCTTTTTTGGTTATTTGTGGTGGAGGAAACGCCCCAGGTTTCCCCAGGGGTGGAAATGCTCAAAACCCATCACTGGCCCCAAAATGCTTCTCATTTCTACTTGAAGCACCTGCAGAGTGACTGAGCGTGGCCCAGGGTGGGGTGGCTCCTGGGAGGCTCCTCTGAGTTGCCCCAGCATTGTCCCAACAGACCTGTGCTCCTCTCAGGAGGGTCCCACCCTTCCCTCACCTTATTTTTGGGGCTGTTTTCCCCATTTTAGTGTCCCTAGGGCTGGCTGTAGTAAGAGCAAGGGAGAGTTTTCTTGCAGGAGGGTGGCAGCAGGGTTGGATGTACAGAATTATTTAAAATATCAGGGCTGTCACAGCCACACAGATGCTCTCAGCTGCCCTCCCTGCTCCTATGGATCCTAAACAGAAGTCCCTGAAGTGATTCTCTGCCACTGGACCAGGTCATTTGAGAGAATTCACAGAATCACTGGGTTGGGAGAGGCCTTCAAGATCATGGAGTCCAACCCAGCCCCAACATCTCAACTCAGCCCTGGCACCCAGTGCCACATCCAGGCTTTGTTAAACACACCCAGGGATGGGGACTCCACCACCTCCCTGGGCAGAACTTTATCACCCTTTCTGTAAAAAACCTTTTTCCTGATACCCAACCTAAATTTCCCTTAGTGCAGCTTAAGACACAGTATGAAAGGGCACAACATGGAATTGTTTAGGTTGGAAAAGCCCTCTCAAATTGAGCCCTCATCACTGCCAATCCCACCACTAACCCGTGTCCCCAAGTGCCACAGTCACACACTTTTGGAACCCTCCTGGGGGTGACATTTGCTGCCTTGGGAAAGTCTCTGTGGCACCCAAGCCAGTCTTGGTTGAAGCTGCTGCTGTGCCAGAACCATGGCACATTCCATGGTGTGGGAAATAGTGAGGGTAAGAAGAGCTTTAAAAAGTTGGGAAGGTAGGTTTTAAAAATAGAAAGAATAGAGAAATTAGAATTAGTTGTAAAGTGTGAAGGTAGGAAAAAGTTACAATATTATAGTAAGTAAAGTTAATAGTAAATAAGGACCTGAAACAATAGTTTGAGTTTTAGGTTTGGTTAAGATAGACTTTAAGACTGTAGAAAAAATATATTTAGTAACATAGTAGAAGGTTTTAAGCTTAATAATGGTGTATTGTGCATTGTTAATAGAAGTAAGTTCTATTAAGTAAGAAGTATTTCTTACTTAGAAATAAGTAAGTGTTGTGTGAAGTATGTGTACCTCTAGTGATTGGTTAGAACAATTGTTTGTAACTTTAGCAATATGCTATTGGCTAGAAAATTTTTTAAATGTTCCGTAACAAAGAAATCTTTGGCTGCTGCTGGCAAGATGTGGTGAGCTTTTGCTATTTCTCTATTGTCTCAGCTATCTAATGTTGAGAAAATGACACTGATGTTGTAATAAAATTCCAAGGAACATCTCTTGCTAATCTCGCTCTGTTTGTGAAAGACAAAAAGCTTCCCCAACACAAATGGTGCCCTGTGAAGCAAAAGATTCACTTCAGAATCCTTTGTAAACCATTCAGCCATCAGTGTTGAGCCCCAGATTAAGAAAATTGAAAGAAGAGGGAAATCGAAAGAAGAGGGAAATCGAAAGAGAGCTGTGCTCTGCTGCTCAAACCCTTCCCTAGCCACCAAAAACGAGGGGAGAGGTGAGAGAAACAATGCAGGGGCTGAGCTGAACCTCCAGCCATGGCCTGGGGGAGCAGATCCAGCCAGGAGCTGGGCTGGAGCATTTTGGCAGCACTCCCCAGGCAATGGATGCTCCTCCTGCGCACCAGACCTTCAACCCAAGCCCTGTTCACCCTCCAGCCTGCTCGGGGCTGCCAGCAGCCCTGGGCTGCTTGCCCATGACTGAAACCTCTTCCTGTGCTGAAAGCCTCGCTGAATGCAAACAAAAAGTGTCCCTGGGGGCTGGGCTTGCACTGCACAGGGCAGGGGGACACACGGAGGGAAGCTGGGGATGTGGCAGCCGGCGTCTGTGGGGTCCCTGGTGCCAGAAATGATCGTCCCACGGAGCTGAGTTTCATTTTCTGTTCTCTTTATTTCAGGGCAGTGAAGGGCCAAGAGGAGCAGAGCTTCCCTTAGAGGCACAGATCAGCGGAGAGATCAGCTTCTGGTAAAAAACAACCCCTCCCTGTGCTCCCCTCCTCATCCTCAAACCTGGCTGGCCCTGGCTCCAAGCACAGGCACCAGTGCCGGGTCGATTCCTCTAGAAATCCCACAGATTTGAGTGGGATCCCATATAAATCCCCTAAAACCCCACAAAAATATATAATATAATAAATATGATATGATATGATATGATATGATATGATATGATATGATATGATATGATATGATGATATTATACGATAGAATATAATAGAATATATATCATTAATAGAATATAATAGAATATATATCATTAATATATAATTAATATAATATAAATTANCGTGTGTGTGCTGAAAACAGAGTTAGAAACTCAAATTCTCTGCTGGTTTTTCACCTTTCTTTCTGTGCTCCATAAGTTATAATCATATTCCCAATAACAAGAATTTGTTGGCTGATGCCTTTATTGATGTCAATCAGCTGAAAAGTGAGAAACACTCAGGATTGATTTTTGGTCAGAGAATGCACAATTTTAGTGCATTTATATATATATTATATACACTGGGTTTTTTTATATAAGTGTATATATTTATAACCCACAAAAATATATATTTATAAATACATGCTAGCTAGCTAAAATAAATATATAATATATAAGAAATATATAAGAAATATATAAATATATACTAACTCAAATAAATATACACTAAGTTATAAATATCTATTATAGATATATAAATATATACTAACTGAAATAAATATATACCAACTAAATATACAAATAAATAAATATTTAAGTAATAATTTACATGCATAATATAATTTTGTATATTATGTAAAATATATAATATATACTTATGTATTATTTATATATTATTCAGATAATTTATGAATAACAATTTATTATATATAAATATGTACTAACTAAATACATAAATATATAGTAACATATATAATAGATATACTAAAAAATAAATATATACAAAATATATAAATAAATATGTTATAGATATAGAAATCTATACTAACAAAAATAAACATATACTAATGAAATATATAAGTAAATATATATAATAAATGTATAAATATATACTAACTAAAATATGTACTAGCTAAGCACATAAATAAATATATATTCTAAATATACAAACAGATACTGACTAAATAAATATATACCAACTAAATATATAAATATATACTAACTAAAAGAAATATATACCTGCTAAATGTATAGATTAATATATATTCTAAATACATAAATTTATACTGATTAAAATAAATATATACCAACTGAATATATAAATAAATATATATTATAGATATATAAATATATACTGATTAAAATAAATATATACTAACTGAATATATANTCTGATATAGATTATATTTATATTATAGATTACATAGATTATATATAATATATATATAATTATAATATATAATTTTTTAAAATATATATATTTTTTTTTTTAATCTCATGAAAAACCCATTTTGAAGCTGGCAGGCAGCCCCAGTCAGCCTCAGCACTGCTGGAAAGCCCTTGCTGCTGCAGGAGCTGGATGCTGGGATTCTGCTGCCTCTGCCAGAGCTCACTGCTGGTAGAAGGTGCTGGAAAAACATCCGGGATCCAGCCTGGAGTGACCTTAATGAGCATCCCCCGCCTGCCTGGGGTAGAAATCTCCAGAAACAGGAAACTCCAGCATCCTGTTTAGCATCTCAATGTGCAAACTGGCAGCAGGGACAAAGGCAGGGAGGCCGGGGGACACTGGACACACACTGGGCACCGGCAGGGGCTGGAGGAAGGGCAGGGAATGAGCCTGGCACACAAATCCTGTTCCCTGGTTTTTGTTGCTGTCAGAGGCTGGCGTGGAACAGCAAACAGCAAAGCACAGCTCAGCTGGGCTCCTGCTGCTGCAGGCTGGGCTCTGGACAATCCCAGTGCCACCCAGCTCTGGGGACAGCACTGTGGCAGCATGTCCCTGCCCTGGCTTGGCATCTGCCATCCTCACCCCCTCATTTTCATGGCTCTAACCCTCCACACAAGCAACCCCAGCCCATCCTTTGGGAGCTGGCATATATAATATGATCTATATATTTATATATATATTTTTTTAAAATCCCATGAAAACCCCATTTTGGAGCTGGCAGGAGCAGCCCAGCAGCTGATCCCGGTGTGTTCCTGCCCACAGCCCATCCTGAGAGCCCTCCTGGCCTGCCCATGGCTAGCAACAACACTGCTAGCATAGCACAGGCCCGCAAGCTGGTGGAGCAGCTGAAGATGGAGGCCAACATCGACAGGATAAAGGTAAGGGATTCTTGGGAGATGCCTCTGGGAGGGCTGGGAGGTGGTGGCTGCTGCCCAAAGCTCGTGGAGGGAGCTGGGAGGTGAAGCCAGGTGGTGTTTGTGGGGGATGCTCTTGCTTTAAGTAGACCATTCAGTCATCAGTGTTGAGAGCCCCAGATTAAGGAAATCAAAAGAAGAGGGAAATCAAAAGAGGGCTGTGCTCTGCTGCTCAAACCCTTCTCCAGCCAAAAAACAAGGGGAGAGGTGAGATAAACCTTCAGCCATGGCTCTGGGGGTGCAGATCCAGCCAGGAGGCAGTGGGAGATGGGATTGTAGAATCTGGGAATGGTTTGGGTTGGAGGAGACCTTAAAGCCCTTTTTATTCCAACCTCCTGCCAGGGACACCTTCCACCATCTCAGCTTGCTCCAAGCCCCATCCAGCCTGACCTTGGGCACTGCCAGGGGTGAGAGGCAGCTGGAAGCATCACCTGGAGCCCTGTGGGGTGGTGGGAAGGAGTGACTGTCCCCAAGGCATCTCAGCTCCTTGCTAAGAGCTTAAATCCAGGGAGAGAAGTGCTGCAGGGCTGGGATGAGCTCTGGTGGCTCGGGAGCTGCTGCCATGTCTGGAATAAAGAGTGAGGCTGGTGGGTGAGGGCAGGAAACGCTGCTGTGGATGTTCCTGCCAAGGGATGCGTGGGAGAGCCAGCAGGGATGCTGAAGTCAGTCCTTGTCAGGTGAAGGATGGGAACGGGGGAAGGCTGGGAAAACTGGGAATGGGAATTCAGGCTGACAGAGCAGCTCAGAGCCCAGAGGTGAAAAACCAGCCCAGAATCAGCCCCAGCAGGGACGTGCTGCTGCACTGTCAGTCAGGCTCCCATCTCAGAGCTGATATTCCCTGCCCTGGGATGCTGCCAGCCTGGTGGCACCTCTCCAGGTGGGATGTCCCCAGCACAGCCATGTCACAGACATCTTTTATGGAAAATCCTTTCCTTAGGATTCTTCCTCCTGAGAAGCTGAGA